ATTGCTGCCCTGTGATGAGGAGATGGAGAGGTGGGGGTTGCTAGGAAGCCCCACATGATTGGCTGGTCCCCAAGCAAGGAAAGGCAAGCATACTGGAAGCATGCCCGGTCGACCCCTTTTATTCCTGGTAGGTGACCTTCTGGGCCCATTGAATCCTTCTGCATACACGTTGGTCCTGACGTAGGCTGGCTACACCGACATGTGAGTCTGCTACCCCCAACCTCCCCCAGCCCAGGCAGCTCAGCTCCTTTTACATAATCCGTTGAATTTCACTAAACCTGGCAGCGATTTCTCCTTTAGCGTTATGTTGCCAGGCACCCAAACTCCAGGCTGATCTGTTTACTTTACAGCTCTTGGTCTGTTAGTCCTTGAACTGCCTTTGGAAGTGGAAGCATCATTAGTAACACCCTCTCTGTTTACTTCATGAGTTTTACAAAGCTCTTCCTGCATCCTTTTTTATTAGAAATGAGTAGATGCCTCTACTGTAGGGACTCTGGAGCATTTGAAGATAATCTGTGCTTTTTTAGGATAACTAGAAAGTGCAGGGTAAGGGAGGGAATCCTCAGCTGGTATCTTGGAATTTATTGGTCTGTGTTTTGGAAGTAGTTAGAGCCATCCAGGGAACACCATTTAGGAGCACTGTCCTTATGTTGGGGGCCACTGATCTTTTCATTCTTTCCCCTCCTCTGCTCATATTTTTTTGTTGATTTTTTCTTGTCTTGCTTTTTTGCCTGACCACACAGGAATTTACTTGGTAAGGTGATCGCTTCTGTTTCAAAACACTTGAAACTCCAGTAAGATATCTGAGTATGCGTCTAAATTCCTTCCACCTTTTGCAGTTTTCTTTTATCCTACTTTTAAACTGTCTTTGTCATTCCAGTAGGATCCTTTTCCTAGGTGAAGTTGTATCCAGGGTCTCTGTTCTTTTTACAGTCTCTCCCCAAATCCATTCTCCTTGTCCTTTTTATATTATATGTGATCTTGTCTTTCTGTTTCAGGGACTTTTTTCTCCGATATACTAGTCTAAAAAATGGCCTTCATTAAACAGCAGGAAACAAGATCTAGACAGAAATAAATACTTAAATGTTTGGATCATTCCTTTGACTCAGTGTGCCATGTCATCTTGGCTTCCATCTCTTTATTCTTTTTTTAAATTTATTTTTCCTTTTCCCCAAAACCCCCAGTACATGGTTGTGTATTTTAGTTATGGGTCCCTCTAGTTGCAGCATGTGGGACACCGCATGAGCATGGCTTGATGAGCGGTGCTAGGTCTGCACCCAGGATCCGAATCGGCGAAACCCTGGGCCACTGAAGCAGAGCACACAAACTTAACTGCTCGGCCACAGGGCCGGCCCCATCTCTGCTCTTAGTGAGAAGCCTAGCGCAGCTCTTTCCTCCCTCATTGTCTCCTTTGCCCATAGACACTGTAATAATTTGTCTTCTGAACCTCAGTGGTTTTTGTTTGAGAGACGGAATGCTATTGTAGAACACTGCACTAAAGACCTGAGTATTGCTTCCAGGTCCATTTTGTGATCTTGGGCAGGTCAGCCTCTCTGAACTTCAGTTTCCCAATCTGTAAAAATATGACGTTAGCTACTTAGTCAATTTCATAGGATTGTAATTAGGATCATGGATGTGAAAATTCTATCTAAACCCTAATGTGCCATCTTAGTAAAGGTGATATTTATTGAGGTTTTCTGAGCTAATATTCCCAAGAACTGTGTTTACTATAAAGTCACTTAATCCCTTGAGCTGTGGACATTTGTCAGTCACCTAGAGGATTCGTTTTTGTCATAGATTTACCGATAATTTGCTCTTTGCCACACATTATGTTAAATGCAAAAATGAATAAAGACTTAATCTCTAACCTTCAGAAAGCACATGACCCAGTAAGGGAGATTAAAAAAAATAAACAAAACATGGTTAAATATAATACTATCTGTTCAGTCCTTTAAAAGAAGCATTAACGGTGTGCTACAGCATTGGTTCTCCCTGGACCACCAGCAGCAACATCACCTGGGAACTTGTTAGAAGTGCAAATTCTTGGGCCCCACCCTAGACCTATGGAATCAGAAACTGGGGGTGGCATAGCAATCTGTTTTAACAAGTTTTCCACATGACTGCTGCATGCTAAAATTTGAGATCGGAGGGAAGGAGTGATTAATTTCACCTGGACCAATTTACAGACATGGTAACCATTGATTTGGGCCTTCAAGAATAAATAGCATTTCATAAAACAGAAAAAGAAAGGAATGATATTCCAAGTAAAGAGAACATCATGAGCAAAGGTCAAAAATCGATATGTAATAAGTTTGGAGAACTGCACCTAGTTCAGTGCGACTAGGGCATGGGCTTTATAGGGCAAGTTATTAAAGCTGGAGAGATTAGGCTTTGAGCTTAGACCAGTGGTTCCCAAATTTATCTGCATGTTGGAATCACCTGGGGAACTTGAAAAACCCTGCCCATGTCCTTCCACCCTTGTGATTTAATTGGTCTGGAGTGTGACCTAGGGTTTGAAATTTTTAAAAGATCCCCAGGTGATTGTAATGTGCAGACAAGTCTGGGAACTACTGGCTTAGACTATTCTGTATATTGGGAAAGATTTTTTAACGTCAGAGTGACATGATCCAATTTATGTTTCAGAACAGTAATTGGTGTAGGGAAGGAGAATGGAAATAGGGCAACCTACTTACCCTTCACCATTCAAACGTTGTTCTTTAGGAAGCCTTCATAACCACCTTCTCAGCCTCAGGTCCAGATTAAATGGCTCTCCTGGGTGCTTCTATAACAGTTTCTCTTATCTTTGCACCTATCACACTCTATTGTAATTCTTGTATAATTGTCTTCTCTACTAGACTACAAGGTAGGAAACCATGTCTAGGTTTGTTTTCTATTTTAGCATTTAACACAGTGTCTGGTTCAGAGTTGGGATTCCATATGTACTTAAGGATTAAATGACAATTTAGATGATTATTTCACTAGTCCAGGTACAAGAGGATAAGGACCATAATTAGAGCTGTGGCCATAGGAAAGGAGAGAAGGAAGAAATCTAAGAACTCTTTCAGGTTATAGAATTTATATGCTATGGTAACTGGATGTAGGAAGTAAAGGAGAAGGCCTTGTTCAGGAACATGCTGTGATTTTTAGCTTGAGTATCTGGTGAGATGCCATTAACAGAGTGTAGAGGAGGAAGAATAGATTTTAAGAGGGGACAATATATTTGGTTTTTGTAGGCTTTGAGGCAATTGGAAATATTAGGCTAGCTTTCAGATAAGATTGGGGTTAGAGATAAAGATTTAGAAGTCAGCAGTCTCTGGCTCAGTTCTCAGTGTGGCTTTACATTAGAAACACCTGGAGTCTTGTAAAACATTTCCTGTGCATAACCCCACTCTAGACCAATTAAATCAAACTGAGGAATGGGGCCTAGGCATTAGGACCTTTTAAAAACCCTTTAGGAGATGATTTCATTGTGCATCAGGGTTGAGGCTCACTGGTAAAGGTTAAGGAAATCACGTAGAATCAGAAAGGAGGAGGTTTACAGTCAGAATCTGGAGGGATACCAACATTTAAGGGTAAATGGAGGAAGAAAGCCAGCAAAGGATACCCTTTGTGGTCCAGGATACTGGGTCTTTTGGTCTTTGGTGCCCTACTTCTCTATTATAAGCCTCTAGTGTTGGATCCACATGACTTCTGGACATGGCTGTGTCTCCAACAGAACCCGAATTATCTGCTTCTCCTGCTTCTGGGAGTTGGCAGCATTTTCCTTGCTTCCCATCTCCCTGCCACTAAAACCTAAACAAACTGATCTATACAAATACAATTCTCTAGCAGCCTACAAATCATTCTTAATATTAAAAAGGAAGAGCCTGGGAGAGGATCCCATAGGACAGTGGTTCCCATGTCTATTCACATTTGTAATTTACCCAAAGCTTAAATCTTTTCAAGTTCATATTCAAGCTATTGTTGTTATCTTGGGCTTTCTGGTATCACACAGCAGCAATAAATAGGGTTTCCCACTGGCAGAAGTAGCTAGTGGTTTCCCTTATTTTTATTTCCTTCTTCTGTCCCCCTTCCAATTATAATAGCCATGTCTTAACCTCCTTATCTCCAGTTGTGTTTGTGACTTACTTTTTACATGTAAGGAAAGGACAGGGTAAGCAAGAATGGGGCCATATAAACAACACTATGAATGGAAAGCTGCAGCAGCAGGTGCCTCCAGACCGCCTCAGGACCAACTGATGATGGGTTAAGAGGTAGAGAGAAGTTACAGAGTAGAGCCAGAGCTCTCAGAAGCCTAGGGATTACATAGATTATAGAATAAGCCCCAGTGTCTTGGCTGAGTGAGAACAAAAAGGTGAGTTTGAGTTAGGTGTGTTGTAAACCCCACAAGAGAAGCTGCATTGCAAGGAATTGGGTGGGCAGGAAAAAAAACAGATTAAGCTCAATTTTATGGACACCTAAAGATTAACAAAACACGGTTTCTGCCTTGAGGGATTTTCAGTCTAATGAGGGGGATGTTTGTATAATAACAAATGGCAGGATGAAATCATTGCTAAATGGGTATACAATAAAATAAATGATTTTCTCTAAGAAGATGAGAAACCTTTGTTGGAGAACTGGTATCTGGATTTCGTATCAAAAAGATGAGGGAAATGTCAGTCAGAAGGTTGGCAGCTGGGGGTTGGGGTGGCATCCTAGGGTGAGGGAGCAGTATGAGTAAAGAGTATTAGAATGTGTTCAGTCAGCAGAGTAGTGTGGTTGGAGCAGGTGGTACATGGAAAAATGATGAGTGAGTCTGTGATTTTAATGCTTCCATTTGTATCACTGGTGTGATAAGGGCCTATTCCTTCCCTGTGTTAGGTAGGCCCAGAGATTTCTCAGACCTATAGACTTCAGCTATATCTGTTTTTAAGTAAATTAGGGCTAGAACTAGGTTCTCCACTAAGGACCAAGTAGGAATCAACCCTAGTGACTTTTTTCCTGCTTCAAATATGACTCACCTCATTTGAAGATCTGGAAATGACCCCTTGGTTGAGAATCACTGCCATAGGGAGCCACTGTTCTTATGGGACTGTGTCATATCCCTCAGGTGTGCTATGGTAGAAAAAAGGTTGAGAACATGAGCTTGACTGAAATTCCCCAAGAGCAAGGACTATGTAGTTAATTGCTTTTTAATTCCCCACAAATTCGTATTTCGTGCCTCTATCAGTAGGGCATTAATGCTATATTGCCACCATTTCACACCATAATTTTTAGAGACACCAATTGCTTGGTCAGTTGACTTCTGGCCACCTGTGAAATTGGAAAAGAATAATAGAGCCCAAGCTTCTAACTTCATTGCCTGCCTTTATACAGAATCCTCACCATGGATGGGCTCATTGAGGACATTAAGCGACGGCGGTACTATGAGAAGCCTTGCCGCCGGCGACAGAGGGAAAGCTATGAAACTTGCCGGCGAATCTACAACATGGAAATGGCTCGCAAGATCAACTTCTTGATGCGAAAGAATCGGGCGGATCCATGGCAAGGCTGCTGAGGCCTGTGGATAGTCAGCCCAGTATGAAAACCCCTATCCAGTTCTATCTCCACCTCCTTTCTTTTTCCCATCCCATTTTCTCTTACCTTTCTTACAATAAACTCAGTCACGTATATCTAAGAAGGCCTGCATATATAGAAGCAATCCCACTAGTCAGTGTTGGACCCTCTTTTATTAAGTGAAAGAAACGGAGTCATAAAGTAGTCGAGGAGTAGAATGGTGGTTGCCAGGGGCTGGCTGGGAAGGGGGAATGGGGAGTTATTGTTTAATGGGTACAGAGTTTCAGTTTGGGAAGATGGAAAAGGTTCTGGAGATGGCTGGTGGTGATAATTGCACGACAGTGTGAATGTACTTAATGCCACTGAACTATAAACTTAAATGGGTGAAATGGTAAATTTTATGTATATCTTACTATAATAATTTTTTAAATAGTTGAGATGAGGAAATTTTCTAAAACGTAGTGGAATATATCTACCATTCCCCACCCAATTTTTATGAAACCCAAAGCAAGATCTTATTATTGGAAAAGCATCTGTTAGTCTTTACTGAACTGCCCCCCAACTGTTAAGTAAAGGAGAGGAAGCGTGTATGTATTTGGAATAAATTCTGCTTCTGAAACATCCATCAGCTAGACTAGAGTGTTGGAATCCTTGCCCAAAGGAATCCTTAATACGAATCTAACATTCACTCCTGTTCGCTATCTTTCCTTTAGTTTCCTAAAGGAGACTAACGGAGGCTTGGTGGGGAAGAAGTACGGCAGTAGATGGATGGTAGAAAAGAGGGAATTGCGGAGTGTTGGGAGACAGAAGGGCAGAGAACCAGAAATATCTACAGCAGCAGTTCTCAAAGTGTGGTCTTCAGATCAGCAGCATCAGTATCACCTGAGAAATTATAAAATGAAAATTCCGGGACTTGAGATCTTCTGAATTGGAGTTGGAGCCTAGTAATCTGTTCTGACGAGCTCTGCAGGTGATTCTGATGCCTGTTAAAGTTTGAGAACCACTGTCCTGTAGTAGTCAAAAGAGATTCCACGGGCCAGCGCGGTGGTGTAGTGGTTAAGTTCACATGCTCTGCTTTGGGTCTGGGGCACAGACCTACACACCACTCATCGAGCCAAAATAGAGGAGGGTTGGCACAGATGTTAGCTCAGGGCCAATCTTCCTCACTGGGAAAAAAAAAAAAAAGATTCCAGGTGGGGGTCCCTACCTCTCCTCAACAGGCACTCCTGGGTATGACTAGACAGCTTGGGCCGTCTGACCACTGTGGGAAGACCAGCCGCTCTGCTTCCTCTCCTGCTGTCTGTTTCCTCTGGCCTTGGTCCCCCGACAGCCATGATGCTGGTATAAGAAGAGTTGGTGCCAGCCCCTGTAGGAGAACTCAGAGGGTAGGCCAGCCCACCTCTCCCCACCCAGGCTGCAGCCTTCTCAGCATGATGTTCAAAAAGGAAGTAAATAGAGAGCCGACTCCCGAGGCCCCTAGTCTCCAGGTTGCTGGTATTCAAACATTGCCCCCTTGTGGTATACTAGCGTGGCTTCACATTTCTTCTGGCCTTAATTTTGTCTTCAATATCTTTTCTCCCTTTCACAATTACCATACTTATTGATTAAGCAAGCCTGCAAGAAGATAAACTGGAACCACTGTTCCTTGCCTCTCAGGCTTGATCATCTGTCTTTCACTCCTTAGCAGTAAGGCCCATGGTGAATAAAGCATATTATAGGGCACTGCATAGAAATAGCTCTAAATAGAAGATCTGATCCTTGCCCTCTGGAAACTTACATTGTGGTTGGAAAAATTCTGTATAGAGGCTGTCTTCAGCTGTTACCTTTGTTCAACCTCATTTTAACAAGTTAAATTAGACACAGATACTTCTTAATCACCTTTCAGTCTCTGAATTTGATCTTTAATACATCACTTTTGAATGATTGTGAGCCATGGCATGGTATCACCTCCTGCCAATTGCTGTTGCTGAAGAATAAAGGCCTGGCCTCTGCCAAAATGGTGGGGTATGTTTGTGATAGCAGAAACAGGCTTGTTACTTATCAGTATTCCTCTGATGTTAAAGTTGCTCCTGGGTTTCCTCCAAAATACTAAGGAATGGCTAAGATCTGGAATTTACTTTGTCTCTGAAATTATCTCCCGCTTATCCTAATCTCTAGTTCTGATCATTGTCCGTGTCCTCCAGAGCAGTGAAAAAATGGTGGGTTTTAGCAGATAGCCAGTTGAGAGACCTCACTGGCTGGCTGGCTGAAGGCCCATTCGGCTTGTGCTGTCTTGGCAGGGAGAAAGACCTTCCATTCCCTGCTCTGGGAAGCTGGAAGATACCTCATGGTCATATAATGAGTAGGGATTGCCCTATTCCTTTTATCCCGGCATTGGGTTCAGGAGTTTACCCACTTACAGGGTGATGGATGCGATACCTCCTACCCTGATCTTAGGCATCTGTGACATCTCTTAGACATCCACTGGGATTGCCTCTGGCAGGCCTGTTCCAGTCATAATTTAAGGGTCTTACAGTGTTTAGGGCTCTGGAAACAGGTACCCATTTAAAACTGAGACTCTGGAGGCTGGCCCCGTTGCTGAGTGGTTAGGTTCACATGCTCCACTTTGGTGACCAGGGTTTCACCAGTTCAGATCCTGGGCTCAGACATGGCACTGCTCATCGAGCCATGCTGAGGCGGTGTCCCACATAGCACAACCAGAAGGACCTACAACTAGAATATACAACTATGTACTGGGGGGCTTTGGAGATGAGAAGAAGAAGGAAAAAAAAGAAGATTGGCAACAGATGTTACTTCAGGTGCCAATCTTTAAAAAAAATTGGGACTCTGTTGAGTAACTTTGTACTTTAAAATTTTCAGAAATGCACTAAATATGAAGTGAGATTTTGCTTATATGTTAACTGAAAATACTAAGGAATAATAACTCACTGTATGCTAACAAAGTAACAATGGAGTGATGTGTTAAATGTAGGTAACTGAAGGGAAAGGAAAGTGTTAGAGCTTTCACTATATGCCAGCTACCTTACATATATAGTTTTGTGGGTTTTTTTGAGGAAGATTAGCCCTGAGCTAACTACTGCCAATCCTCTTTTTGCTGAGGAAGACTGGCCCTGAGCTAACATCCATGCCCATCTTCCTCTACTTTATACATGGGACGCCTCCCACAGCATGGCTTTTGCCAAGCAATGCCATGTCTGCACCCGGGATCCGAACCAGTGAACCCTGGGTCTCCGAGAAGTGGAATGTGCGAACTTAACTGCTGCACCACCGGGCTGGCCCCTATAGTTTTTTACTTAGTCAAAAAGATCTGGATTCAATCATGATTTTGGCAAGTTATTTAACATAAATTCTACTTTTCCTTGTAAAATGAGGATAATTGTATCTACTTTACAGGTTTGTAGTGAGGATTAAATGAGATAATGCACGTCGAGTAGTTAGCATAGTATCTGGCACATAGAGCTTAATAAATGTTAACAATAAAAATCCCCCAGTTGTGCCAGCCAGAAACCTGATCACTGATTCCTCCTCTTTGCTCAACTATCACCAGCATCCATTTAATCCCTTCTGGCTGTCTCCATGACTAAATGCCACAGTCCTAGTCTGAGCCACTGTCATAACTCTTCTGGATTATTACCACAGCCATTTAACCATCTTCTCTCAGTGTTGCCTGGCCTTCAATCCCTTAACACTTTGGCAAGAATGTTTGTTCTAAAATGCAACCTTGATCTTTTTACTTTTCTTGCTTAAGTTGGTAATTGGTTCCTGTTGTTTTCAACATAAAGTCCAAACCACTTAGCATGGCATTTAAGGGCCTTCATGATTGAACCCTGCTTTTCGCTAGCCTTTTCTCCCCTCAAATGCACTTCTGGATGACAGAACATGTTATTTTTCTGCTCTCCTTGCTTGTATACCAGCTCTCAGTTTTGATGTTCTCTGAGATGCTTTCCCTAATCCCTTTACCAGCTTCCTTTCTTCTATTTTTTTTTTTTTTTTTTTGAGGAAGATTAGCCCTGGGCTAACATCTGCTGCCAATCCTCCTCCTTTTTTTTTTTTTTTTTTTTTGCTGAGGAAGAGTAGCCCTGAGCTAATATCCATGCTAATCTTCCTCTACTTTATCTGTGGGATGCCCGCCACAGCATGTCTTGACAAGCTGTGCATAGGTCCACACCCAGGATCCAAACTGGCGAACCCCATGCCTCCAAAGCAGAATGTACAAACTTAACCCCTGCGCCACCAGCCTGGCCTCTCTATTTTCTTTTTGTATCCTGAGTTTACCTTTATAAATTTGCTTCTGTAATAGTAGTTTATTTCTATAATATGTTGTGATTTATTGCTTATTTGTCTTTCTCCCTTCATTAGATTTTCAGTTACCTGAAGGTTAAGTCTTTGGTTTTTTTATCACTATATTCCCAGCACCTAGTATAATACCCAGCATTTAAATGCTTAGTAAAGATTTCTCGAAGGAATATATAATAGCAATGATCTACTGAGTGTTACTATGTACCAGGCACTGTACTAAATTTTTTTTATTGTGATAAAATACATATAACATGAAATTTACCATTTTTAAGTGTACAATTCATTGGCGTTAAGTATATGCACAATGTTGTGTGACTATCACAATTAGCTATTTCCAAAACTTTTTCATCACCTGAAACAAACTGTAATCATTAAGCAATAATTTCACACCCCTCCTCTCCACAGACCCTGGTAGCCTCTACTCTACTCTGTCTCTATGTATCTATTCTAGATACCTCATATATGTAGAATCATACAATATTGGCCCTTTTGTGTCTGACATATTTCACTTGGCATATTTTCATGGCTTATCCATGTTGTAACATGCATCAGAAATTCATTCCTTTTAATGGCTGAATAAGATTCCATTGTATGGGGGGCCAGCCCCATGGCCGAGTGGTTAAGTTCACCCGCTCTGCTTTGGTGGCCCAGGGTTTCACCGGTTCGAATCCTGGGCTTGGACGTGGCACTGCTTGTCAAACCATGCTGAGGCGGCATCCCAGATGCCACAATTTAGAAGGACCCACAATTAAAAATATACAACTATGTACCAGGGGGCTTTGGGAGAAAAAGGAAAAATAAAATCTTTAAAAAAAAAAGATTCCTTTGTATGTATATACCACATTTTGTTTATCATTCATCTGTCAGCGGGACATTTGGGTTGCTTCCACCTTTATCTATTGTGAATAATGCTGCTGTGAACATGGGTGTACAAATATCTCTTTGAGACCCTGCTTTCAGTTCTTTTAAGTATACCCAGAAGGAGAATTGCTGGATCCTGTGAGAATTCTTTTTTTTTTTAAGATTTCTTTTTTTTCCTTTTTCTCCCAAAGCCCCCCAGTACATAATTGTGTATTTTTAGTTGTGGGTCTTTCTAGTTGTGGCATGTGAGATGCTGCCTCAGCATGGCTTGACAAGCGGTGCCATGTCCATGCCCAGGATTCAAACCGGTGAAACCCTGGGCCGCCGAAGCAGAACTTAACCACTCGGCCATGGGCCTGGCCCCCGGGAATTCTATTTTTTATTTTATTTATTTATTTATTTTTTGCTGTTATTGAGTGGAGTGTTTCATAAATGTCAACCAGGTCACTTTGGCTGATAGTGTTGTTCACGTCTACTATATCCTTGCTAATTCTCTGCCTACTTGTCTTATCAGTTATTGAGAGAAGGGTATTAAAATCTCTGAGTAGAATTGTGGATTTGCCTATTTCTCCTTGTAGTTTATCAGGACTTTTTTTTTGGTTTTGGGTTTTTTTTTGGAGGAAGATTAGCCCTGAGCTAACATCTGCTGCCAATCCTCCTCTTTTTGCTGAGGAAGCCTGGCCCTGAGCTAACATCCATGCCCATCTTCCTCCACTTTATATGTGGGATGCCTACCACAGGATGGCTTGCCAAGCAGTGCCGTGTCCGCACCCGGGATCCAAACTGGCGAACCCCGGGCCGCCGAGAAGCAGAACGTGCGCACTTAACCGCTGCGCCACCTGGCCGGCCCCCTATTTTTAATTTTTTGAGAAACCACCATACTGTTTTAGATAGTAGCTGCATTATTTTACATTTCCACCAGTAGTGCACAGGGTTCCAGTTTCTCTCCATATCCTCACCAAAACTTGTTATTTTCTGGGGTTTTTTGATAGTAGCCATCCTAATGGGTATGAGGTGGTATCTCCTTGTGGGTTTTCTGTGTGTGTGAGGAAGACTGGCCCTAAGCTAACATCTGTTGCCAATCTTTCTCTTTTTGATGAGGAAGATTGTTGGTGATCTAACATCCGTGCAAATCTTCCTCTATTTTTTGTGGGATGCCATAACAGTGTGGCTTGACGAACAGTGCTAGGTCCATGCCTGGGATCCAAACCTTCGAACCCTGGGCTGCTGAAGCGGAGCACACAAACTTAACCACTATGCCACTGGGCCAGCCTCTCCTTGTAGTTTTGATTTGCATTTTCCTGATGACTAATGATATTGAACATCTTTGCATATGTTTATTGGCCATTTTTGTACCTTCTTTGGAGAAATGTGTATTCAAGTCTTTTGCCCATTTTTTTTTTAAAGATTGGCACCTGAGCTAACATCTGTTGCCAGTCTTTGTTTTCTTCTTCTTCTTCTCCCCAAAGCTCCCCCAGTACATAGTTATATATTCTAGTTGTAGGTCCTTCCAGCTCTGCTCTGTGGGATGCCACCTCAGCATGCCCTGACAAGCAATGCCAGGTCTGCATCCAGGATACGAACCGGCGAAACCCTGGGCTGCTGAAGCAGAGCACACAAACTTAACTACTCAGCCATGGGGCCGGCCCTGCCCATTTTTGAATTGGGTTGTTTTTTGTTGTTATTATTGAGTTATAGGAGTTCTTTATACATTTTTAGATATTAATCCCTTATCAGATATGTGACTTGCAAATATTTTCTTCCATTCTGTGGATTGTCTTTTCATTCTGTTGATAGTGTCCTGTGATGTACAAAAGTTTTAATTTTGATGAAATCCAATTCATCTATTTTTTTCTTTTGTTGCTTGTGTTTTTGGCGTCCTATCCAAGAAATCATTGCCAAATTCAATGTCATGAAGGTTTTCCCATTTTTTCTTCTGAAAATTTTATAGTTTTTGCTCTTAAGTTTAGGTCTTTGACCCAGTTTGCATTAACTTTTGTCTATGATGTGAGGAAGGGATCCAGCTTCATTCCTATGCATAGGAATATCCTGTTTTCCCTGTATTATTTGTTGAACAGACTGTCTTTTCTCCGCTGAATGGTCTTGGCACCCTTGTCAAAAATCAACTGACCATATATATAAAGCTTATTTCTAGGCTGTCTATTCTCTTTTGTTGGTCTGTATGTCCTTATGCCAGTAGCACACTAAATGTATTTTATACCTTACACATACTCCTCACAACACTCTTTTGAAGTAGAAATTCTTATTCTCATTTTATAATTGAGGAAACAATCTCAGAAAAATTAATTACCTGAAGGAATTGCAGCTAGTAACTGGGAGACTAAGGATTTAAACCCAAATATCAGAAATAAAATAAATTCCTAGAAAAACATTTCCCTCTGGGAATTAAACCCAGCTGGTTAAAAGCACTGGAAGAAACTTAAAACCCCACAGAATTGGAACTCATTAACCCATTTAACAGACTTTTTTCTTTGACTCTTCTGTGAAACATTGGTGTTAGGTGCTGTAGCTACAATGAGGAAACTGAGGCATGAATAACTTGAGCAACATGTTCAAGCTTCCTCAATTTGTTCTCCAAAGCCAAGTTTTAATCTGTTATGTCATGCTGCACCATCAGGGAAGGGGGGTTTTTGTATGTATTTCTCAAACTTCTTAAAAACCAGCCTTTAGGTACAAAAGTCTTGTGCTCCCTGGGAAATTCCAATAACCTCCCTAGAGAATAACTGTATTTTTCTGGTGAGCCTATCATCTAAGAAAACATCTTGGAATTTTAGTTTCTTTTTCTTAGTTTCCAGAATCTTTAGTTTCTTCTATAGTTTGTAATCTAATATTATGGAATTTTTTTTCATTTCCCATATATGAAATCATGTCATAATGGATTGGACGTGCTTTTTCCAAACTATATTTTGCCCACACACATGCTTTTCAGAATCACTGATTTAAAGGGGCAGTAAAGTTTAGAGCCTCATTTTGAAGAAAGGGAAAAATACAGGCTTATTGCTAGAATGAAGAAAACAGTACTGACAGGTCTTACTCATTTATCATTTATTGAGGCTTTACTGTGTCTGGTACTGTCCTAGGTCCTGGAGATACAAAGACAATATGACACAATTCCTACCCTTAAGGAATTTCCATTCTTTAGGTAAAAACCAGACTTAAGTAGGTTCTGAGGTCTGCAAGTTCTACTGCTGAAAAAAGATTCATTCTTTAATTCAACAAATATTTATTAATATAATTGCACCAGGTGCTATTGTAGGCATTTAAGATATATCAATGACAATGATTTCTGCCTTTAAGGAGTTCACATTCTAGCAGAGGGAGTCAGATGATAAGCAATAAACATAAGTAAGTTATCTAGTACTAGTATGGTAGGTGGTGGTAAGTTCTATGGAAAAAAAAGTATTGGGGGGAACCAAGACTGCTACACAGCCTTCAGAATTAAATAGGGTGGTCCCAAAAGGCTTCACTGAGGTTACATTGAATAAAAATCTGAAGGAGATGAGGGAGCAAACCATGCAGATATCTGGATGAATGACAATCCAGGCAGAAAGCAACTAGTGCAAAGATCTTGAGGTGAAACTATGCTTGGCACCTTCAAGGAAGAAGGTCAGGATTCTGGAGCTGAATGAGTGAAGGAAAGAGTAGTAGCAGATGACATCACTGAGGTAACAGAGTGGGGCAGATCTTATAGGGCATTTTACTCTGAGTGATGGAAAGCCAGGGGAGGGTTTTGAGCAGGGGAGTAATATGACCTTTCTGATGTGTTAACATGATCGCTATAGTGCCTACCGTGCTAGTAGTAGATAATTACTTTATGACGAGACTAGACTAATAGGGGACAAAGTGGAAGCAAGAGAAAGCAGTTAGGAGATTACTAAAAACACCGAGCGTAAAGGTGATAGTAGTGGAGGTGGTGAGAAGCAGATGGGTTCTGTATATATTTTGAAATAAGGGTCAATGGAACAAAGGAGTCCAGGATGACTCTTAAGATTATTGGCCTGCCTAAGTGTAAGAATAGAGTTGCCATTACCTGAGATGAGGAAGACTGTTACGAGCTGATTTTTGCGGGGAGGTGGTGGTTAGAATCAGGAGCTTAGTTTTCATTAGGTAAGTTTGCGATGTCTATTTTACATTTATGTAAGCAATTGGATATATTGTTATGTATCATGTAGCTTTATTGAACTCTGTGAGAAGCACTGTTTAAAGTGCATTACCCCCAATCACTCTTGTGATCCTCACAGCAGCCATATGAGGTGAATTTTGTTTTCAGGTGAGGAAGCAGAGGGCTTAAGTAACTTGCCTAATGTCACAGCTAATGAGTGAGAGAGCTGGAACACAAATCTAGGCAGTCTGGCTTTAAAGCCCCTGTTTTTACTTCATCATTAAGCAATATTAATTCTTAGGATGTGTGGCACGTAGTAGTAGGCAGTCAATAAATATTCTGTTAATGAATGAAACAAAAGGCATGGGGGGGGGCTATTTTCAGAGTCCTCCTATACTCATCTTTTTTCTGGGTAATCTCTGGCACCAGTTAAGTAAGGGAGAAAGGTTGAGGGGTGGCTAAGGCTAGTGATCACGACTCTCGGAGGGTTTACTTTTTGCCAGAAAGGCCGCGTTTAGCATGAACGCAGAAGCCCCGCTTTTGGTTCTATCATAAATTCAGTTTAGAGCACTGATTCTCCGCGCTAGGAATACTGCAAGCGGCCTAATTTCTGCTTCAGGCAACATTAACGTTGCAGTAATCTAGTTAGTAGATACAGCTGGGGAAACCGGAGGAGGCGGGAACTTACCTGGGGAACCTTTAGGCCTCCCCCACGCATGCGCTCCGCCGCCGGGAAAGTGGCTACTACGGCTGCGCGAATCGGCGGCCGGGCCCTCCCCCGTCACATGTTGGGGGACCGCGGCGTGGCGGCGGCTGTGGCGGTAGCGACGGCAGGCCGTAGGGCGGTCGGAGGGTTTCCGGTTCCGGTGTAACGTTCGGGCTCCGTCTCAGGGGCTGAAGTTTGTGAGGTGAGTAGTGGCCCCGGGCCCAGAGAGGGTGTCCTCGGGTCCGAGCAACTGGGGCCAGGACTCAGTCCGAGGAGAGGACCGAGGCGTTAAGGTACAGCGGGAAGGAAGCGGAGAGAAGTAGAAGGTTCTGTGGGAGAACGGGTTGGAATGAGATTGTGGAGAGCAAAAGGGCGGGGGCGGGAAGGGGACGGGGTGGGGAGACCAGCTCGGAGATGAGGAGTTGGGGTAGAACAAGGTGGGGTATGGGGCCGGTCGGAGAGACGGAGAGAGCAGAAAGAGAAGAATGGGGGCTTCAGAGGGGAAACTCGGGTTGTAGCAAAGAAGAGGACGGAGTACGGAAATCCTTCAGAAGATTGGATTCTGCTACCTGCTCATTCAGAAGAGATCCTTCTGCCTTCTCCTTCCACACTATAAACCGCCCCCACCCCCGCCCCAGGCAGTGATTGTTGAACATTTGACTAGTGACAAAGCTAGTTACTGTTTGAAACTTTAATTTTTGCCCACTGACTGTTTAGTTTGCACATCATCTTGTGGAGGATTGGGTTGAACTTGAATACGTTTGTTAGTATCGTGCTTGGGCACATGTTTCATCTGATAGAGTGGTACCTCATTTATTGCTTTGGATTTTCAAGTTACTTGCACTTTCTAGCCTATGATTCAATTCTGGTGGAGTATGAGCCCCCTTAAGGCAAAGATTCTTGTCTGTTTTGTTCGTTGTTGTATGTATCCTCAGCCCCCAGTACACTGCTTGACATTGAGTAGTTATGCAATAAATATTTATTGGATGAGTTAAGTACCCTGTAGGTATGGCAGTTGTCTTCATTTTGTAACATGAGTAAACTGAGGTTCAGAGGAATTACTTGCCGAAAGGCTGGTAAATGGTAGAGCTCGATGTCCAAGCTGTTCACTGTGAGCTCTATTCGCTCTGTACGCTATCTGAATATGCTTCTTTTGAGCAATGCACGTTTAATATGTAGAGATTGATAGGCTATACTGCTATCTCATGATGGGTGAACAGAGCCACCATAGAATTATTCATATAACATATCACTGAGGCACAAAATCTTTCATTCCTGGATTCGTGACTTTAATCTACTAGCTTCGTATGGTTATACCAAAATTAAATATACTCTTTAGCAACAAGTCTCGTAGAGGATAAACCTGCCAGGAATGTAGAAGTTAATCAGACTGTGTCTTTTAGGAGAAAAAAATGTCTTCAAACATCTTGAAAGATTGACTCCCAGATCAAACCCTGAAGTGTGGCACTGCTGGGAGAAAGTTAGCTTGGAAATTGAGGTCAGTGCAGTTTATTGACTTTTAGACATTATGGAGAAAATCAGGGAAATAAAATTTTCTCTGTGCTCTATGAGGAGTTCTGAGATTTAGGTAGGAGGTCAAAATGTAAACATGAATAATGTTTAAGAATTATACTAACTTGCATTAAAAAGTAAAGATTTGTTATAGAACGTCCTTTATGATAGTGTTTTCTCTGCTAAGCCAAAAAGAATAGAGGTGAACAGGGAGAGAGAGAGAGTACATTCAAAATGAGAGTGTTCTTTTCAGAGCTAAGGGATTACTCTTATCAAATCAGCTGACAGAGACCCTGTAGAACATGAGAGAAAATTATCTGAGTACAGAATTCCCACTGGGATGAATATGACTACAGAGAAGTGTGACAGAACATTTTTAAGGATTATGAACTTTCATATAGGATGACTGACCTGGACAAGCCCTCCGTTAATTGCATCCCTTAGAAGAAGGGAAACCTATAGGTCAGGGCGGGGTTAAGGAATGCCTGCCTGGAAGAAGGAGGAATAGAAAAGCTGGCCTCTTGTGGACTTTTTCAGTCTTGTTTTCATGTTATATGTTTATCAGGCTATGACAGGATCAAAAAGCTACAACTCATTTCTCAGACTAGGTTATTCCCAGGGTTTGTTTGTTTGAATTCTGCAGATTTCATCGATCCACTGATACTTACTGAGTTAAGGTTAAAAATCAAACGGAATGTAGTTCTTTCTGCTTTGAAGCGTGGTTTTAGGGAAACTGGCTTGAAATGACGTGGAGGAACTTGCCTAAGGATTGAGAATAGGGGTGGGGAAGGCATTCCTGATGTACTAACTGTTGCCTGGAATCACTTTGGCCTTTTCCTATCCTAACTCTTTCCTGGTTTCTTTATAGGTGCAGTATTGAATCCCCTTTGAGCTATCCTCCTTTTCCCAAAGAATGGCACTGTCTAAGAGGGAGCTGGATGAGCTGAAACCATGGATAGAGAAGACAGTGAAGAGGGTGCTGGGGTTCTCAGAGCCCACAGTGGTCACAGCAGCACTGAACTGTGTGGGGAAGGGCATGGATAAGAAGAAGGCCGCTGGTATGTACCTTTCTGAATCTTTTGACTTAACGTATAGGATGATCTCAAGCACTGCTTTGAACTTCTCCAAAATTCTCTCTGTTGGAAGCATCTAAAAAGGTCAGGCCACATTTTATGTTCTCTTGCATTATAATGACCTAGCCCAAGTGACTATGTTTGCTTTTTCTCTTATTTTGTATTTTTTATACTATTTGTGACATATTTTGAATCTCAGACTGACTTCCTCTGACCACTGTAGTGAGTTATTTAAGTCATATTTACTTAGGAAATATACTAAAATCAGTGGGTAGATTCAGATTGACATCCAGACATATAGAAGTCTTTATAAAATACCTGAAAAAAGTTGTGGGAGGTAGATTTTGTTAATGGTAGTCTCCTACAACTTGCTATTTGGGAAAAGTTAGGGTGATTATTCATTGTAAACTTTGATGTTCAACCTAAACAGGTTGCTCTGGCTATGCTACTTCCTACTCCAAAAAATTAGAACTGTATTTTTACCTCATAGGGCAGGGTCATTCAATGTAAGAGAATTTATGGGGATCCTACAAAGAACTGGAGAAAACATTTCCCTCCCACCTGGGGATAAAATTCCAGTGTTGGTGTCTGTTATATGCCTATTATTGAACTAAGTACTCTTACCTTTTCAACCCTACCACCTCTTTTTCTCCTTTTAGACCATCTGAAACCTTTTCTCGATGATTCTACTCTACGATTTGTGGACAAACTGTTTGAGGCTGTGGAGGAAGGCCGAAGCTCTAGGCATTCCAAGTCTAGCAGTGACAGGAGCAGAAAACGAGAGCTAAAGGTAGGTTTGCAGTTAACTACTCATGAGCTCAGGAGTGTTTTGAATGGTAATAAAGTTACTGAGCTTACCTGGCTTACACTTTGATATCCACTATTGGAACCCAGTATTCAAGAGAGGTGCTTAGACATTAAAGTAGAAGGGATGAATTTGTATTATCACCATCTTATGGTGATGAACTACCCAAGTTCATGGGTTGAAATATTCCAAGGAAACAGTTGGTAGCTTTGTTCTTTTTCATATACAGTTAGTAGTTTTGGTTCTCATGTTTCCCTATGTTTCCTTTTTTTTTTCCTCCTTACTACTACCTACAAGTTGATTGCTCTAAGATTTTATGCTTTGATTTACTTGAGGCCTAATAGATTGCTTCAGAATGTGACTCCACTGCTACCTAAGCTATAGACTTCATTGTTGCTGCTGTATAGAGGTTTCTCTGCAGTGAATTTGTAGATGGGATATCTTACAACAATTATTATTTTTTATATATCTTGAGAGCCTCCCATTTCCTATATAGCGTATTGCTGGTCATCTGGTCCCATGAGTGGAGTTCTTAAAGGGACTATCAATACTCCCTTACCTTCACTTTTTACTGTGTAATTGGCTGATTGGTCATGGCCTCTTTCCGTAGTAGCAGGGTCAAGTAGCTGATCTTTCCACCTCATTTCTCTCTGTCTCTTTCTTGAAAAGAATTCTTTTCTGTGACTTCCATCAAACTGTCCAAAGTGCTTTTGATACCTTGGCTATCCCATTGCTTTTCCTGAGGCACAAAGACTGTATAAGCAGTGTCTGCTTGCTCCCTGGCCAGGCTGTGGAACCAAAAGAAGTAGAGATTGGTGTGCCCTTTGTTTTTAGGGCATTTCAGGGTGATCAGAGGAATGAGAGGTAGTCCTTGCCTTAAATGAATTTGCAGTTTAAGAGGGGTGGGGGAGCACAAGAAAGCACAGTCACAAATTATAAAATCTGAATAGCAGTTTCATGTAAATTTTAGGGTTGACTATAGAATTTCACACTTATGTTGGATTTTGTTATATTTAAGGGGGAATGCTTGATCCACAGTATACACAGATCAGTAGAGTGAAGATTATGTTATGATAGGACATGCTACTGTATAAGTGTTGAAGGCATGCTGTGAATGAAGTGACTACATTGGGTGGGATTAATAAAAGTGGTTTATTGAAGGAGATATCTAGATAGCCTTGGGATATGGGTCCCATTTTGGTCCATTCAAGTCCCCACCCCACACAATATATTATGGGAGAGTCCTTTTTCTTGAACTGTAGGAGTTCCAGGAAGCGCTCGCCCCTGGCCGAGGATATGTCCTTGCAAAACACGAGCCCTCCTAGTGAAGAGGGGATGTCACCCAAAGCCTACCACCGGTGTGTACATTTGCTTTTTCCCATTGTCCCTTCCAGTTGGCCACTCTTGGTCCTGTTAAATTCACCTTGCAAATTAGTCAACATATTTGAGTTCCCATTGTTTGATGAGAACAAAATGTTATTGGGGAAAACTGAAGAAGAAAGAGAGAGCCCCTGTCCTGGAAGAGCTTAGACTCTAGTTGGGAGAAAGTACTAACATTGAAAGACTTAACACTTGGCAAGCAGAATATCAGCAATGTAATTTTACCTAGTATGAACCAAGCTTAAGTGCTCTTCAGTGCTAAGAGGATGTGAAACAAAAGTTTGATCAGAGTAGGATGAGATTATTAATGAGGAAA